AAATATATAATTATTTTAACAAAAAAAAAAAGAAACAATTCTCTAAGTCACATTATCATCAATGTCAGCATAGAAAAACGAGAAAGGAAAAGGACCGTGCAAAAGCACACAATTTACGCGATTCTGCGATATGAAAAATAGAGACGATCGGAATTAGAGAATGGCCCGCAATCAATAATACAGATTGTGGAGAACGATGAAGCGGAGAAGTCGACGGGTATTTTAACATTACACGTGTTCTCGTTGCATCTGCGCATTCTCGTATATCACCCAAACTACCTCGAATCTTCCCGGTGAACAAAATCTCCCAAGGGCGATTTCTCGCTATATTACTGTACTTGTGCGATAATAAAGTATTCGATCTACTAATTTCGTGCTGCGAATGCGTGTTTCAATTGCAAGATATATCATTGGATATATATCGATATAGTTGATTTCCAGCGAAGAACTGCAACTCGAAGGATAGATAAACAAAATGGTCGCGGAATGGGTCGTAAACGTCGCGTATTCTAACCATCGACATTTTTATTATGACGTCGCTTTCCACGTATATTCCCGTCGCCATTTAAGTATTATATCGTAAACCACACTTCATTCAGAAATGCTTTTGCCCTTTACTGTATCTACGAGACACTTCAGGAGCGTTTATATTGGCCGTAATCTGTTAACTTATATCGTTATCTGTAAGAATTGACCAACTACAGTCGAATAAGAGAGAAATAATCGACTATTGGTCGATGCTTACAGATTACGGCCAGTAAAAGATACAATTATATGTAAATTATATATTAAACAACCGATAAAATCAATTATATGTATTAAATAAAGTATTTTTTAAGACCGTAATGTGAATACAACAAATAAAAGCCTTAAATCAAGCTGAATCTTTAATGCTTAAATAATTCAGTGGAAATTTATATATTCATATAATTTTGTAAATTGTGCGAAAAAATTTAATTTTCAGTCTTGAAACACAATCCTAACAAAACTAAAGTAGTAATATCACAAATTAAATTGACAAACAATTTAATAATATTGATATATATTCGTAAACATCTTAGAAAGATCATAATAATTTGAAGCTAATAAACAGCCAAACATGTAAATAATAATTTTATTGAAAATAATTTTATTGAAAAAAATATTATTTCAGTCGGCATTCGAGCTCGAATAATTGTTTTCTGAAAAATTAATTCAGTTGTAAAAATAATTGTAAAATTAATTCAGTTGTAAAAATAAAGCAAACTGATAAAAATAGGTAACGTATAACATATTAAGTACGCTTGTAGTACATGGTTAGAATTTATATTGCAGCGCGTTTCATGAATAAGATCTAATCTTCTATAAATAAATCCCGTAAGCAATAACAAGGCTTCTCGATTCCGTTTCGAAGAATTTATTTCAAGAAATAATCCAGTACTCGACACAGCTCTCCAATAGACATTGTTTCTGTCTAGCAATTCGATGACAATCTTCAAATCGTGATGTATATCCATGATCTAGATCGCGTTCATAACGGTTGTTCGTAATGTTCTAGATCTTGTTATTCCGCTAACTTTTTTTCATTTTCTTTCTCCATTTTCTTATCGATTCCCTAAGCAATTGCTATCTTCGTCCACCGGTAGCCGCGGCATCAGAACATCGAACTATACATTTCTTCCTGATGCCGCTGCAACTCGGGAGAACAACAAACAATCTTTGAACAAAATTGTGCGCATCGAGGAATCCCAGAAGAGCGTAGATTTGACGGATATTTAGCGTATATTTTATTCCGCCTTTCCTTCCACTCTCCTTATATACCACCCTCCTCCGTGTGCTTCTCTACCACGCACCCTCTCTACCAAACTTAGATCAATATGTTGCGTCATGTACTCCCCTCCCCCTCCCGTCCCACCCTTCCTCGCAGATCACCCAACGTCTCACCGTCCGCCCGGCCACCCACTCCTCCAACGTCCCCGCGCTCCAACCATCCCCGGCACTCCCTCCGTGAACCAGCGCGGCGAGTGACGTCACGCAGGGACGCGCCCCATTCATAGGCTCCCACGCAGCGTTCAGACTGTGAGAACGAGGAAAAAAGAACGAGACAGAAGGAAAGAAAAACTGCTGACGACGGCGACGACGACAACGTACAGACATATCGGGACACACGATTCCAATGGGTTGCGTATAATCGAGCGGTCGGTATCGATTCCTTTCGAGCGAGACATTTTGATAGCTCTGTAATTTCGTTGTTTTCGCAACGGGACGCAATTAAACGATCCGACTGCGACTGTGCGACGCGACGTGACGTGACGCGACGCGACGCAACGCGATGAGACGAGATGCGATGCGACGCGACGTGTTACGGAGTAAGAGAACTCATTTAGAACGAAGAAAGAACCCCCTTTCCCCGCCATCTTCGTTTTCCGCCCTTATAGTTTCGCGAGCGTGGATCGATGATATAACGACGCTCACGATGACGTTTGTCATTGTACTTGCGTGCGGCCATGACGGAGGCGTGCGTGTATAGTGTGCGCGCACGTGTGCAACCCGCGACGGCGAGAGGGTGACGAGGAGGTTTACTACAAAACACCTACCTCACCTATTCCCCCTCCCCCCATGTCTACGTTTATGTGCGTCCGACATTCCGTGCCCGAGCGCCGTTAAATTTTACGCGGGCGCGCTCGCTCGCTCGCGTCATTGATCAGCGCCCGGATTACTTTTAATAATCCGGAAAATGGAGCTCTCTGTCTCTCTGGCACTGAAAGAGATGAAAGATGCAGCGACGCTCTCGCGAAAGATAAAAGCTATTACATGTTCGCAATAAAGAGGTGTCCTGCGCGAAATATCACACACAGCGGCCGTGCGAATGGTGTAATTTGCGCGCGTACCCAAAAATAATCTCTAGATTTCCTTTCGGTAATTATTACTGTATTAAATCCGCAATTTATCTATCATGAAACTGGGTCATTAAATAAAGCCAGAAGACACGATAATCGA